CTTGACCCATAGGGGTGTAGGACATCATGTGTAATGCAGTCACAGTAGAAGTGGTGTTTCTTAGGCAAGATAGTCTGACACAGCCCAACCCTCTCCAGGCTGGTTTTGAATTCAGATTTATTCCTTCTAGACCAGTTGCCACCCAAAGTTATAGAACCCAGTCTGTCCTGCTATTTACCCATAGCTGGGAGGAGAAGAGGATTCCTACCTTTTCCAAGGGTATTAGTACGTAAGTGGATGTAATGGATCTGACTGGAATTCAACCTTGGTTCTCCAATTCCTTGATCCAAGCTGCTATCCATTACTCCACCATGCTTCCCTGAATAAAATAAAAATTAAGAAAATAAATTCAACGTATCTAAATACAAATTAGAGACATGTCGTAATAGATCATTCCATCTTAAATAAATCAACAATGTTTTGCAGCAGTTTTTTACATCAACTTGAGATTTATTTGCTAAATAGTTCAATAATTTTAACACTGTTATGTTTTGCATATCTCTGTGTAGTAGTAGTTGTAGTACAGTTCTCCATGTCCTAAATAGTAACCAGGTTTGTTAGACATAGCCACCCTATGTTCGGCAGTTGTTTTCTATTTATACTGGTCTATCTAATTTGCATACAATACTACAAACACATTCAACATTATAGATAAAAAATAGTGAATTTTATATAGTGTTTTTTTTTATATAGTGTTTTTTTTAGACTTAGAATGAGTAAAAGAAATTCATGGATTTGGCCGAAAAAAAAAAGATCCCCCCCCCAATGACATCAAAATCCATGAAAAGTTTTCGTCCTTTAATAATCGGTTGTACTTAGTTTAATTTATAACATATATGAATGTAGGTAGAAAAAGCAAATGTTGATAAGATAACAAGGTCTTGGAGAGATTTCAAACAAGGAGAAGGCTTATGCTTAACAGCAGAAAGAGGCAGCTGAAGTTTCTGGGACAAATAATGAGGAAAGAGGGCCTGGAGAATCTGATATTCACAGGTCAATTAGAAGGAAAGAGAGACAAGAGAAAGCAGCATGTGATATACCTGACGAGCTTGAGCAGTTGGATGACAGAAGGTGGTCTGGGGGAGGAAGCAGAAGGAAGGATATATATATAATTTACCCACCATAGAGAACCCTCCCTGCCTTCTATCAGCTTGACTGATGCCCAACTCCATGAGATCATCTCTCTGTACCTTCTTGGTCTCATGTTTTCCCCGACCAAAGAATTATTTCTGTACAAAGAAACTTAAGTCAGTGTCAAATATCAATTGCATAGATTGAACATTATACATTGAGAATTTCAGATCAAAATTCAGTTTTCTACATATGATGCTACATATTTCCTGATACGCCCTTGCATAACATCACTCAGCTAAATAACAAATTCTATATTAATTTATATATATATATATATATTAATATATATATATATATATATATATATATATATATATATATATATATATATACACACAATACATTTTACAAAATGGCCAAAAATTCCTTTTTTATAGTCAAATTACCAGCAATACATTTTTATAGTCAAATTACCAACAATACATTTTTTATAATAAATGACTTAAAAGTACATTTTTATAGCAAAATGACAATCAATACAATACTAAAAACGTATAAAAATACTTTTTTATACTAAAATTTCCAATAATACATTTTTTATAATAAATGACTTAACAGTACATTTTTATAGCAAAATGACAATCAATATGATACTAAAAACGTATGAAAATACTTCAGTAAAATTGCCAGCAATCCATTTTTGTAGTGAAATTCCCAACATTACATTTTTAAAACTATATATCTAAAAAATACATGTTTACCCTAAAGTATAAAATTATGTACAAAATATTTGTAGGTGAAGGCATAAAATTGCGTTCAAATTTTTTAGTTTTGGTATTAAATAACTCCTAGAAGTTGTTATGCTGCTAAATAAAATCAACCAACCAAATGATCCTGGAGAAAATCTTTCAAAGATTGAGTCTTTGATTTAACTCACAATACACAGATACAACACTCTGATCATAAGCAGAGTGACATTTTGATTTGGTGCACAGATACTACACTAATCTTATCCATATGTAAATAATCTTGTCATATTTTATGGGTACTATACTCACCATGACATAATGTGATATATTTTTTTTTTTTTCTTCAAGTAAAAGACGTTTTTCTATCGTTGTTTCAGAAACTCTGTACATTAAGCCAAAATAAATAAAAAAAAATTTGTGTATCTATTTTTATGTCCCAAATAATTTACAGCAAAGCCTGCAGTGCCCTCTCACAGCTGAGATGCACAGAAGGCAACCATGACTACCATTCTACCCCACCCAACTACGCTGACTACACTTACACCATTGCATCGTTTTTGGCACCCACAACTTGAAGATTTCTGGTTTAAAAGTGAAGCTGCCAACTTAATTTGTATCATGCACTTTGTCGTGCTAATTTGTTTGTAGTAGTAACAAAAGAACAGTCTTGTTTCCTGTATATTTGTCAATGTTACCATTTTTGTTGCAGTCAGTTATGTGCCATGCGTAATAGTTGCCATCCAAGGCTATAGAACTCAGTCTTTCCTGCTATTTACCCATAGCTGGGGGGAGAGAAAGAGGATTCTACCTTTCCCAAGGGTATTAGCATGTAAGTGATTGTAATGAATTCGACTGGAATTCAAACTCGGTTTCTCCACCTTACTTTCTTTTGTTATTTCATTCTTTTTTCTTTATTCTTTTTTTCTTTCATTATTTCCATTTCTTTCTTTCTTTTTTCTTTTCCTCTTTTTTCCTTTCATTATTTCCATTTCTTTCTTTCTTTTTTCTTTTCCTCTTTCTTTCTTTTTTCTTTTCCTCTTTTTTCCTTTCATTATTTTCATTTCTTTCTTTCTTTTTTCTTTTCCTCTTTTTTCCTTTCATTATTTCCATTTCTTTCTTTCTTTTTCGAACTCTTTTTTCCTTTTATTTCTTTCTTTCTTTTTCTTTTCCTCTTTCTTTCTTTTTTCTTTTCCTTTTTTCCTTTCAATTTACATTATTTCCATTTCTTTCTTTCTTTTTTTTCTTTTCCTTTCCATCAATCATTTTTCCTTTCTTTTTTTATCTTTTAACTTTTGTTTTCGTTTGTCTTCCTTCCTTATGAAGTTTAGCAATCTTCAGTGATCATGTATCTTTCGATACATGAAAACAATTGTTAATATCTTTCTGCAACCAGTTGCCACAGTGCTGTTTTTTATTGATTCAACCTTATGCCAGACTAAGAATGTAAAACTTTATCGCTCAAATTACAGCCAAATCCATCAATCATTTTTTTTCAAAATGTTTAATTTTTTTAGCAATCTCACCATCAATCTTCACAGTGAGCAACCTTATAGTGGGAGCTAAAACTTTTAACATAGATTTTTTTTTTTTTTTTTATGGGAGTTTAAATTTTTTGTTTTTATATTATGAGTAGAGACATAATGAACACATAAGTTTGACTTGGAGAGGGGTGGGCTCCGCCTGATCTATTTTTCCCAAGACACAAATATTTCTTCAATTTTCTTTGTAAAGACTTAGACAATGACACATTGCTAAAATATGTGAACGGACCTGGTCAGACATTATGAGCACATCAGCTGTGCTCTGACCTGGAGAGGGATGGGCTCCACCTTATCTACTTTGACCAAGAATTGAATACTTATCTAAATTTCTTTGCAGAGATTTAGACAATGGCACAAGTGCAGGGAGCCAGTCAGGTACTCAACTTGACTGTGACCTTATGACCACACTCAGTCACAGGATTGATGATTTAGGGACAGATGTAAAAAGTCTTGAATAATTTCTTAAGTATACATGTAAAATCTCATGAAAAATGATCTATTTGTTATCATCTTTTTTGTTGTTTGGAATAACATGCTCATCTTTCTTATTATATTTACAGTGTTTCGACCATTTTAACCTCCAGCCTACTTCAGGTGTTTATAACAATACTCAGTAACCTTCTTGGAATTTCAAGCTGAACACTTTAGTCATCTACAGACTAGATTGTTCTCATTCTGCTTTTGATCTTTAGGGGAGATAACTCTTATCTGTTAATATTCACCAGTTTTATTCAATTTTGGATCATTTGTCTGTTACTTCCAGTGATCCAGAGTATATGACTTTTCAGCACTGCCAGATGCTGGAATTGAACTCATGGCTGTCAGGGAACCAGTATGATTTAACTAAAACTTTAATACACTTATTGTCTTTTCCAAGAATCATGGCAATTCACATATAAGAAGGAAAAAGAGATCTGTTCTGAGTACTTGGCTGCTTGGTTGATGAATGCCAAATGTTTCCTTATAAGGAAATGGCTAATATAAAAAATAAAAGAAAAAAATTTTAAAAGAAAGAATTTAAGAAAAGAAGAACACCATGTAGCCCTTAACGTATTAATAGATGCTTAAATGGCTAAAGGTGTGTAATCAGTATTTAACCTAAAATATATCATGGGCAGGTGAAGTTTGGTAGAATGATATATCCAGAATTAAAATTGAGAGCTTTTTTTCTATGGATGCAAGTTATCATAAGCTCATTATATTTGTTCAGCAGGTTTGGGTCATTAATATTTTTGAGAATGAATCCTTTTCCGCAAACACAGGTTACATTGGTTGCCATGGCCAGAAAAGGGTGTAGTCTTGGCAACAAAATTCCAATTTACTATCAGTGTATAGTTACTTGTTTTAATTTCCCAGTAAAATTTTGAGAATGCAGTGGTATTTGTATATTGTTTATTGGTAAGAGTCATTTTATGATGGTAATATTGGGTTTTCTAGTGGTTTGTGGTGGAATCAAAAGAAAACTTAGTCTCATCATTATGTTTAGTGCTAGCCTTATAAATAATGCCTTTATTCATACATTTATCATTTAGTGGACAGGTACTGTTTTTTCAACAATTACACTTAATACAGACAGTATCAATATTGTTATTGAGGTTGTTTAAGTATTTGTTTAATGCTATATTTTTATGTTGGGCTATATACTGCTGAAACAGAAAAGAGAGAGTGACATTGAGAGTGAAACAGAGAGAGAGAGGGACATTGAGAGTGAAACAGAGAGAGAGAGAGGGACATTGAGAGTGAAACAGAGAGAGAGGGACATTGAGAGTGAAACAGAAAAGAGAGAGTGACATTGAGAGTGAAACAGAGAGAGAGAGAGGGACATTGAGAGTGAAACAGAGAGAGAGAGAGGACATTGAGAGTGAAACAGAGAGAGAGAGAGGGACATTGAGAGTGAAACAGAGAGAGAGAGAGGGACATTGAGAGTGAAACAGAAAAGAGAGAGTGACATTGAGAGTGAAACAGAGAGAGAGAGACATTGAGAGTGAAACAGAGAGAGAGAGAGGGACATTGAGAGTGAAACAGAGAGAGAGAGAGGGACATTGAGAGTGAAACAGAAAAGAGAGAGTGACATTGAGAGTGAAACAGAGAGAGAGAGAGGGACATTGAGAGTGAAACAGAGAGAGAGAGAGGGACATTGAGAGTGAAACAGAAAAGAGAGAGTGACATTGAGAGGAAACAGAGAGAGAGACATTGAGAGTGAAACAGAGAGAGAGAGAGGGACATTGAGAGGAAACAGAGAGAGAGAGAGGGACATTGAGAGTGAAACAGAGAGAAGAGGGACATTGAGAGTGAAACAGAAAAGAGAGAGTGACATTGAGAGTGAAACAGAGAGAGAGAGAGTGACATTGAGAGTGAAACAGAGAGAGAGAGAGGGACATTGAGAGTGAAACAGAGAGAGAGAGGGACATTGAGAGTGAAACAGAGAGAGGGACATTGAGAGTGAAACAGAGAGAGAGAGAGAGGGACATTGAGAGTGAAACAGAGAGAGAGAGGGGGACATTGAGAGGAAACAGAGAAAGAGAGAGGGACATTGAGAGTGAAACAGAAAGAGAGAGGGACATTGAGAGTGAAACAGAAAAGAGAGAGGGACATTGAGAGTGAAACAGAAAAGAGAGAAGGACATTGAGAGTGAAACAGAAAAGAGAGAGGGACATTGAGAGTGAAACAGAAAAGAGAGAGTGACATTGAGAGTGAAACAGAAAGAGAGAGGGACATTGAGAGTGAAACAGAAAGAGAGAGGTACATTGAGAGTGAAACAGAAAGGGAGAGGGACATTGAGAGTGAAACAGAGAGAGAGAGAGGGACTTTGAGAGTGAAACAGAAAGGGAGAGGGACATAGTGAAACAGAAAGAGAGAGGGACATTGAGAGTGAAACAAAGAGAGAGGGACATTGAGAGTGAAACAAAGAGAGAGGGACATAGTGAAACAGAAAGAGAGAGGGACATAGTGAAACAAAGAGGGACATTGAGAGTGAAACAGAAAGAGAGAGGGACATAGTGAAACAGAAAGAGAGAGGGACATTGAGAGTGAAACAAAGAGAGAGGGACATAGTGAAACAAAGAGAGAGGGACATTGAGAGTGAAACAAAGAGAGAGGGACATAGTGAAACAGAAAGAGAGAGGGACATTGAGAGTGAAACAAAGAGAGAGGGACATAGTGAAACAAAGAGAGAGGGACATTGAGAGTGAAACAGAAAGAGAGAGGGACATAATGAAACAGAATGTGTGACAAGGAGTGCAATACAGAGAGGTATTAAAGTGGGCGGTCATCTTAGATAAAGGCAGATATTTGTAGTGTAGTTTTAAATCTGGTTTTGTGACTTAACGATCTGTTGAGAATATTTCAGTATTTTTAAGAGAGACTATATCACTTTTTTTTTTTTTTATAACTATCTCAGAATGGACACATGTAGAAAAGTATAGAGTGTAGCAATAAAATATTTATTAGTAGGCCTGAATAATTTACTTGTGTCCTGCTAGTTTAAATAAATATTATCCACCGTCTTAAAAAAAAAAAAAGAAGTTTCTTATTTTCCTGAAATCTTATATGAAGTCCTTCCTCTTTCTCAGAATATGTAGTTTACATTTGGCCAACATGAACCAATGAAATACAAAAAGGCTGAAATTTTTTCCCAGAAATTTGTTATGTTATTTAAGACGATTAACACTATTCACTTTTGGTCTGGCTTGTGTATATTGTCTGCTCTCTACACAAGGTATTGATTTCTTAGATAATACACTCCCTCAGAGCTTGTTCAACATCACAGAAAAGAAATAAAAAGAATACAACATAACAAACTGATATTTGCCTTGTCAACATTTGAACTGAAAAATAAAATTAAAGTTTTAAAGAAAAAGAAATAAGCTAAGGAAAATAGATTAAGATTTTCAAAAGAAATGAAAGACAACTTTTTAATACTTGAACAAAAAGTATGGACCTGTCCGACCACAAAAATTTCACTTGATGTTGTGTGTGTTTTTGTGTGCACATATATATATGTGTGTGCATGTATGTATGTTTTATAGAGTTAGAGGGTAGGATTATACATTTTGTGTGAGAAGTACTATCAGGGGTGTCTAGTTTTGTTGATTTTTTAAACTCATTTTCTAGCATTGAGGATGAAATGATATGGGTGTGAAAATATATATTTTATAATTTTTTTTCTATTTAAAAAATATGATCCTATCGCTACACAGGAATTACCATGTTTCAAAAACAGAAAGTAAATTTTAAATTCAATTGGAAAAATTAAATTAAAATCCCTAGTGCTGTTTCATTTTCAAGCAATTTTTTGTATAACTTATTAAGAAATTTACTGAATTTATAAGCACTATTATGAAATTTTAAGTTACAGGAAGTTCAATTATTTTTGCTAAGGGGTTTTGTTTGCATTTTCCTAATCAATTTATGTATCAAAATATAAGTTACTTTCAAAAATCAGGGTTATTTTCATTATTTTATATATATATATATATATATATATATATATATATATATATATATATATATATATATTTAAAATTAAAATTATATATATATATATATATATATAAAATCAGGTTATTTCTCATTATGTGTGAGTGCATACACTAACTTAAATACCAACTGCGCTCAACACAAATACTCCTAATAGTATTGGAAACAGCACAAAAAATAAAATACACCTCAAACAGTCAAAACATGATGAGAAACTAACACCACCAAAATAAAAACCCCTTTGAAAATGGCAAAGGAAGTGGCTGGAAGCACTTGGAACAATGGATGAAATGGACAGTTTTTGTACTCCCTTACTCCCACCAAACGGAAAAATGTAAGAACATTGGAAAAACTAAATAAGTTTTTCTACAGAATCTTTCTAACAATTTCATTTCTTTACACACACACACACACACACACACACACACATATATATATATATATATATATATATATATATATCTATATCTATATATATATATATATATATATATATGTGTGTTTGTGTGTTTAGGCAGCAATCCTTCTTTCATGCACATTTCATTGAATACGGCAGAAAAGGTGCTTTTATTTAGCTTTTTATACAATTTCTCATGCGATCTAATAATTTTTTTCTTTTCAGATGATAAATTATATAAAACCTGTCCGAATGTTCTTTTTATCCAAGTACTTTCGGCTATACATTTAGCCATCTCATTTAAATATTCATGGAAACCTACCAGACACTATTTGTAACATACTTGTTGACAACACTAATATAATAGCATCATCTACATGCAAAAAAAGGCTAAAAATAATGGAAGCCCTATTAATAAAAACAAACAAACCAACACTTAATAATATTAACTTTGAACATGGACATAATATTTTGACCATGTTTTGAAAAATGAAAACATTTTATAAAACATACATACAACTATTTCTTATTTTAACAGTTAAAATATTTAATCCTTGAAAATGGCTAAAAGTATAGCCGAAAGTGCTTGGACAAAAAGAACATTCAGACAGGTTTTATATAATTTATCATCCGAAAAGTAAAAAATTATTAGATCACATGAAAAATTGTATAAAAAGCTAAATAAAAGCACCTTTTGTCTGTCGTTTTCAATGAAATGTGTGTGTGTGTGTGTGTGTGTGTATATATATATATATATATATATATATATTTAAATAACTAAAATAACTAAAATAAACAAATTTTTTTAATACATACACACACACACACACACACACACACACACACACACACACACACACACACACACATATATATATATATATATATATATATATATATATATATATATATATACACACACGCACGTCCTGTTTATTTTAAATGAAAATTTAACTTTTTTTAAATTAATATAAACTTTTTAAAATTAATATCATTTTTTAAATTAAAAAAAACTGTAATCCCAGTATAATATATATATATCTATGTCAGCCTTACAATAACCAGGTATATTTTTTTAAAACAGTCTATAAACAGCACCTGAAGATTGTGTTGTGCTACCAGTGGGTGGTGGGGTTAATATGTTTATTTATGAAATTGTTACAAAGATTCTGTACAAAAATTTGTTGTATGGAATAAAATAAGAATTGGTGAAAAAAGGCACCTCATGATTATATCGATTTCATTTTTTTTTTTATCTATCTATCTATATATATATATATATATATATATATATATGAAGAACTATAGATTTAAGGTGTGCTTTATATATATATATATATATATATATATATATATATATATATATATAACTAACTAAAAAATATTTCTAAATTTTTTTCTAACACATATATATATAAATCCCATTTATTTTGAATGACAAATATAACTTTTTAAATCAATATAAACTATTAAAAAATAAAAATATTAATAAATTTAAATTACATAACGGCCAGTCTATACGCAGCACCTGAAGATTGCGTTGGGCATAAAACTCTGAGTTGTGCTACCAGGGGGGGTTAATGTGTTTATTTATAAAATTGTTACAAAGATTCTGTACAAAAATTTGTTGTATAGACTAAAATAAGAATTGGTGAAAAAAGGCATCTCATGATTATATCGATTTCATTTTTTTTTATCTATCTATCTATCTATCTATCTCTCTCTCTATATATATGTATATGTATGTATGTAAAGAAATATATTTTTAAGGTATGCTATATTTATGGAATAATGTGCTCAATATCAGAGATAGATCGTATATAAATACAAAAATAATCATTGAAGTTAACACTCAGAAGTGATAGGCTGTTTCATGCTAGATGCAATCATCAGGCTAGATGATTGCACCTAGCATGAAACAGCCTGTCACCTCTGAGTGTTGACTTCAATGTTCACTTTTATATTTATACATATATATAGAGAGAGAAAGAGAGAGAAATTAAGGGGGATTTGAATAATCATGATTTATTCATCAAGTCTAGAAAAATCCTCAACAGAATACAGAAAGCACTGGGCTCATATTTGGAACTCATCAGTAGTGTGCCTCTTCTACTGAGAATCAAACCGAGGCCCTTATGATATAATGTAAGTGTCATAACCACTGGACCAACAGGTCTCCGTGACAAACCAGACTCGATATAGTGCCAGGTTTGTTACGTCATAATGGTCTTGGTTCGATTCTCAGTAGTGGATATGCACTGCTGATGAGTCCCAGATATATTAATAATGATATATGAAGAAATATAACTGCCTGAATAGATTACTCACAATGTACCACTGACCCATATATATAAATAGTCGAGGAAAAATCCAACATTTGCGGCCTGACGATTGTGTCTAGCATGAAACAGCCTGTCACCTCTGAGTGTTGACTTCAATGTTCACTTTTATATTTATATATAGGAATAAAATATAATAATGTCACTGCTGAAAACACAGGCAATCTCATTATTGAATTAAGTAGATCATGTGACTGTAACGGAAATGCATATATACAGGAAGTCGCGTATGATGTATTCGTATTTCTCGTCTGTCTCTATTTCATTTTGGACCACTATACGAAGTACTATTACTACAAATATTATTCAAAGATGTCTGACACCAGTATTGTTCAACGGTGTACTATAATTGGTATCTGAGATTACAAATTCTCTACTACATTCACATCGATTAAGTACCAAGTGAATGTA